GAGGAAGAAACAGCGATAAAAACAAAAAAAAAGAAAGAACCTAAACAGATGAGAAAAAGACGATAACGAAAGATGGGGAAGAAGGGACGGAGAGAAAAGAGAAGGAGGAAGGTACAGGATAAGAATGAGAGGAGGATAAAAAAAAAAAAAAAAAAAAAGAAAGAAAAAAAAATGAAAAAAGACGATAACGAAAGATGGGGAAGAAGAGAAGGAGAATAAAGGAGAAGGAGGAAGCTACAGGAAGTCAGCTACGGGAGTCCGTCGTGATAAAATGGCTAGGTTGATGACCTTGCTTGTACTAAGGGACAGTAGAATGTAGGGTTGACCTCTCTCTCTCTCTCTCTCTCTCTCTCTCTCTCTCTCTTTCTCTTCTCTCTCTTCTTTCTTTCTTTATCTCTTTCTTTCTTTCTTTCTTTCTCTTTCTCTCTCTCTCTCTCTCTCTTTCTCTTTCTCTCTCTCTCTCTCTCTTCTCTCTATCTCTCTCTCTCGTCTCTCTCTCGTTCTCTCTCTCCTCTCTCTCCTCTCTCTCTCTTTCTTTCTCTTTCTTTCTTTTCTTCTTTCTTTATCTCTCTCTCTCTCTCTCTCTCCTGTCTGTCTGTCTGTCTGTCTGATCTCTCTCTCTCTCTCTCTCTCTCTCTCTCTCTCTCTCCCTCTCTCTCTCTCTCTCTCTCTTCTCTCTCTCTCTATCTCTCTCTCTTCTCTATTTTGTCTCATTCCTATCCATCCAGTAGTGTTTCTATATATTTATCTAAAGTCTATCAAATTCCTCTCATCTATGTCTTACGTAACCTTTCACGCTCACGCCCACAACAATCCACGCCCACCCCGCCCACAGACATATCCACGCCACCCCGCCCACAGACAAATCACGCCCACAGACAAATCCACGCCAGACTCCTGCCACAACATATCCACGCCACCCCCGCCACAGACAAATCCACGTCCACCCCCGCCAAGACAATCCACCCACCCCCGCCAACAGACAAATCCACGCCCACCCGCCCACAGACAAATCCAAACGCCCCCACCGCCACTGACAAATCCCCCAGCAAATCCACGCCCACCCCGCCACAGACAATCCACGCCATCCCCGCCACAGACAATCCCGCCCAAGACAAATCACGCCCACCCTGCCCACAGACATTCCAGCGCCCACCCCGCCCACAGACAATCCACGCCCCTACAGCAAATCACGCCCACTCCTGCCCACAGACATATCCGCCCACCCCGCCAGCAGACAATCACGCCCACCCGCCCACAGAATCCAGCAACCCCGCCAACAGACAATCACGCCACCACCCCGCCACAGACAAATCCACGCCACAAACAAATCACGCCCACCACGCCACTGACAAAATCCCCGCCCACAAACATCCACGCCACCGCGCCCACTGACAAATCCACGCCCACCCCGCCATCAGCCACGCAGCCACAGACAATCCACGCCACAGACAAATCCACGCCCACCCCTGCCCAACATATCCACTGCCCCACCCGCCAACAAAAATCAGCCCAACCATCCGCCCAACGACATCCCCCCGCCACAGACAAATCCACGCCCACCCCGCCACAGACAAATCCAGCCATCGCCCACAGACAAATCCCGCCCACAGACAAATCCCGCCACAGACATCCCGCCACCGAGACAATGCCAACCCCGACCAACAACAACCACGCCCACGCTCCACGCCCACCCCACGACAATCCCGCGCCCACCGCCACAGCCCGCGATGCACGCCGTAGGACTCTGGCGGAGGGGATAGGGAAAGGGGTGGGGGATGGTGTGGGGGGGGGGGGGGTCCACATTCCTGCCTGGGGTCTCGGGTTCCAGTCCAAGGTGTCGGATTCCTTGTAGCCTTCTTCGAGGTTTCCAGGTACCCTCGGCGGGATCTGGCGGCCCTTCGTCAGGAACAAGGGCTGTTGCGAGAAGCATGGGGAAGTTTTTTTTTTTTTTTTTTTTTTTTATGTTTGTTTGATTTTTTCTTTTTTTTCTTTTCTTTTTTTTTCTTTTTTATGTCTTCTTGTTTATTCTTTTTTCTTTTTCTTTTCTTATAAGAATATAAGGTTTTTTTTTTATCTTTTCTTATTTTTTTCTTCTTTTTTTCTCTTTTTCTTTTTCTCTCTTTTCTTCTCTTTTTCTTTTCTATTATTTTCTTTTTCTTTTTTTTGAGGTGGGGGAGGAAGTCGCAAAATCTCGTGGATTTGTCTTCGCGTTTCATTTTTGCGCAGTCTAATGGATTTTTTTTTTTAAATCATTTTTTTCGTAGCTAGAATTTTTATCTGATTATTTAATCTCGTTGGTTTGGAAAGTTATAAGGTGTTCGAACTGCGTAATTTTTTAGGTATTTGATGCCTTAAATTATAAGGTATTGCGCCGTATTTTTTAGGTATTTGGCGCGTAATTTTTTAGGTATTTGGGCCGTAATTTTTTTTATGGTATTCGATGCGTAATTTTTTTAGTATTTGGCGCGTAATTTTTTAGGTATCTTGGGCGTAATTTTAGGTATTTGGCGCCGTAATTTTTTTAGGTTTTGATGCGTAATTTTTTAGGTATTTGATCCGTAATTTTTTAGGTATTCGATGCGTAATTTTTTAGTGTATTCGATGCCGTAATTTTTTGGTATTCGATGCGTAAATTTTTTAGGTATTTGATGCTGAAATTAATAAGGTAATTTTTAGGTCCGTATTTTTTAGGTATTTGGCGCCGTAATTTTTTAGGTATTCGATGCCGTAATTTTTTAGGTATTCGATGCCGTAATTTTTTAGGTATTCGATGCCTAATTTTTAGGTATTTAATAATTTTTTAGGTATTTGATGCCGTAATTTTTTAGGTATTCGATGCCGTAATTTTTTGGTTCGATGCGTAATTTTTTTAGGTATTTGATGCCTTAATTTTTTAGGTATTCGATGCTTAATTTTTTAGGTATTTGATGCTGTAAATTTTAAGGTATTTGGCGCCGTAATTTTTTAGGTATTCGATGCCGTAATTTTTTAGGTATTTGATGCCGTAATTTTTTAGGTATTCGATGCCTTAATTTTTTAGGTATTTGATGCCGTAATTTTTTAGGTAAATTTTTTTAGGTATTTGTTGCGATTTTTTAGGTATTCGTGCCGTAATTTTTTAGGTATTCGATGCCGTATTTTTTAGGTATTCGTGCTTAATTTTTTAGGTTTCGATGCCTAATTTTAGGTATTCGATGCTTAATTTTAGGTATAGGCGTAATTTTTTTAGGTATTCGATGCGGGTATTCGATGCAGTTTTTTTAGGTTATTTGAGGTTTTTTTAGGTATCGATGCTTAATTTTTTAGGTTTCGATGCCGTAATTTTTTAGTATTCGATGCCGTAATTTTTAGGTATTATGCTTAATTTTTTAGGTATTCGATGCCGTAAATTATAAGGTATTTGGCGCCGTAATTTTTTAGGTATTCGTTGCCGTAATTTTTTAGGTATTTGGCGCCGTAATTTTTTAGGTATTTGGCGCCGTAATTTTTTTAGGTATTTTTTAGGTATTTGGCGCCGTTTTTTTTTAGGTATTTGGCGCCGTAATTTTTTTAGGTAATTTGGCGCCGTAATTTTTTTTAGGTATTTGGCGCCGTAATTTTTTAGGTATTTTGGCGCGTAATTTTTAGGTATTTGTGCTAATTTTAGGTATTATGCCGTATTTTTTTTAGGTATTTGGCGCCGTAATTTTTTTAGGTATTTGGCGCCGTAATTTTTTTAGGTATTGGCGCCGTAATTTTTTAGGTATTTGGCGCCATAAATTTCAGAGATCATGGAACATATCAATTTGCCAGATGGTTTTCAGCTGGTCCCGTGGCCCAGGAGGAGGGGAGGTGGTGGGGGGAGAGAGGGTAGGGGAGGGGAGGTGAAGGGGGAGGAGGGGAGGATGGGGAAGGAGATTGGGGAGAGGGATGGGGAGGTGAGGGGGAGGTGGAAGGGGAGGGGAGGTGGAGGTGGGGGGGAGGAGAGGGTGGGGGAGGGGAGGATGGGGAGAGAGGATGGGAGGGGAGGATGGGGAGAGGGTGGGAGGGAGATGGGAGAGAGGGTGGGGAGGGGAGGTGGATGGGAGGAGGAGGTGGGGAGAGAGATGGGGAGGGGAGGATGGGGAGAGGGTGGGGNGAGGGGTGGAGGGGAGGAGGTGGGGAGAGAGGGTGGGAAAGAGGAGGAGGGGGGGAGGATGGGGGGGAGGTGGGGAGAGAGGCTGGGGAGGGGAGGTGAGGAGAGAGGAAGGGGAGTGGGGAGGGGAGAGAGGAAGGGGGAAATGGGGGAGGAGGGGGGAGGGGAGAGATAAGCGAAGGGGTGGGGCATCGAGAGAGTAGAGAGGGTAGGCTATGGGAGGGGTGGGGTGGGGTGGGGAGGGGAGGGTCGTATCTCGCCCGTCATCCCCGGCCATACGGACGCCATGCTGTCGTTACGATTACACGCCACGTAACACCTCAAATATGCGGGTACCGGTATACACGCACACGCACGCACGCACGCACACACGCGCGCGCAAGCACACACTCAGTCATTCACTCACTCAGTCACTCACTTACTTACTTACTCACTTACTTTCTTACTCACTCACTCACTCACTCACCTCACTTACTTACTCACTCACTCACTCAACTCACTCACTCACTCACTCACTCACTCACTCACTCACGCACACACACACACACACACACACACACACACAACACACACACACAAAGGTAAACAAAGAGAGAAAGAGAGAGAGACAGGAGAGAGACAGAGACAGAGACAGAGACAGAGACAGAAAGAGAAAAGAGAAAGAGAAAGAGAAAGAGAAGAGAAAAGAGAGAGAGAGAGAGAGAGAGAGAGAGAGAGAGAGAGAGAGAGAGATACCATATATACCATATATACCCCCTCTTCCTCCCTCATCGCCACAACCCCTCCGATCCTCATGTAGGCCCTACAGACCGCACCTTATTCGTCGTCAGAGGATTCTCGACCTCGCGGGGGACAGCTGGTGGACTCAGGTGGCACGGGGTGAGGGGTGGGGGAGGGGGGAGGGGACGTCGAAGCAATCAGCTGGTTTATGATAGGGGGAGTATGGGGGAGGTTGAGGAGGATGGGGTTAGGGAGAGGGAGGTTGAGGGGGAGGAGGGGAGAAGGATAGGGGTGGGTGGGGGAGGGGTGGAGGTAGAAGAGGGAGGGGGACGGATGGGAGTAGAGGGAGGGGAAGGGGTATTGGGGGTAGGGGGTCGAGTGCCATTTATAGATACCCACGGAGGCTGGGAGGGGGGGGGGGGGTACGGGCGATGGCATATAGGCCTGTGAATTTATGGTAAACCTCCCTGACTCACTCGTGCCTCGTAAAGTCCTCCATCGTGAGAAAAATAATTGTCTAAAAGAGAAGAAAAAATAATCAAATGTAAAAATAAAAATATTCAAATATGTAAAAAATATTCAAATATTCAAAGAGAAAAATATTCAAAAGAAAAAATTCAAATGAGAAGAATGTCCAAATTAAGAGGTATATTTACATCATATCGACTTTCAAACTTTTGGAAACATCCTTTCTTTTCCTCTTCATCTCCCCTCCTTCCCCCCACTTCCTCCTCCGTCTGTCTCTGTCTCGGTCTGTCTGTCCTGTCTGTCTGTCTCTCTGTCTCTCTCTCTCTCTCTCTCTCTCTCTCTCTCTCTCTCTCTCTCTCTCTCTCTCTCTCTCTCTCTCTCTCTCTCTCTCTCTCTCTCTCTCTTCTTTCTCTTTCTCTTTCTCTCTCTCTCTCTCTCATCTCTCTCTCTCCTCTCTACCCCCCACACCCTTGCTCCCTCTTCTCTTTTCTTCCCCTCCCCACCTTTTTTCTCCTCTCCCCCCCCCCCCCCGCTCACTTTCTCCCACCCCCCATCTCCCTTCGACTTGTCTCTCAATAATTGACTCTTTCAAAAACACAACACACACAACACACACACACACAAACACACACACACACACACACACACACACACACACACACACACACACACACACACACACACACACACACACACGAACACACACAACACGCACACACAAATCGAGACACTTAAAAAAAAAAAAAGAAAAAAAAAGTGAAATTTCATAATGGATTTGAACGGATTTTGAACCACGCTGTGCATCGTCTTGTCCGGATGACTGAACACCGGTAGGGGGGGTAGGGGGGGCGGGGGCGGGGTAGGCACGGGGGGGGGGGGTGGCACGGAGATTTCTGTGGCAGGGAACAGCGGAACTGAACTGGTCGGATTTAATTTTTTTTTCTCTCTCTCTCTCTCTTTCTTTCTTTCTCTTTCCTCTTTCTCTTTCTCTCTCTCTCTCTTTCTCTCTCTTTCTCTCTTCTCTTCTCTCTTTCTCTCTTTCTCTCGCGCTCACTCTCTCTCTCTCTCTCTCTCTCTCTCTTCTCTCTCTCTCTCTCTCTCTCTCTCTCTTCTCTCTCTCTCTCTCTCTCTCTCTCTCTCTCTTTTCTTCTTCTTCTTCTTCTTTTACGTTGTTGTTTTGAAATTTATTATTTACGAGTTTTTGCGTGATTTTTGTCATTTGTTTAAACCTCATTCCGTAAAGCGAAGGGGAATAACAAAAGAGAAGAGGAGGGGAAAGGAATAAAAAAAAGAACGCTCGAGGAATAGAAGGAGAAGCGGAAGCGAAGAAAGACGGGGGAGGAGAGAACTAGAATGAAAAAAAGGAAACAGGATAACGGTAGAAAAAGACTGAGACACGCCCGCCGGACAGAAGCCTCGACGCCCACGAGAGCGCGGGCGTCCGAGCAGGTGCGACACACACGCCCCCAGCGCCGCCCATGACAGCGAACCCACCTGTGACACCAGCTCTCCAGCCTTGTCAGGAGCCATCTGTCACGCCGGTCGATCTGCCGCGATTTGAACCAGCTGAAGCCTGCAGTGAACCGTGCTCGCGTTCGCCTTTCACTGCTGTTGTTGCTTGCAGTCGCACGCCCTTCGTGTCCGTCTCGGCAGGGGTCCACTCCGCCCGTCTCCATCCCCCTCTTTCTCCCCTCGCCCCCTCATCTACCCCCTTTCCCCCCCGCCCCCTTCTCTACCCCTTTTTTCCCCACCGCCCCCTTCCCCCTACCCCCTTTCCTCCCCCCGCCCCCTTTCCCTTACCCCCTTTCCCTACCCTCTTCCCCCCCGCCGCCCCCTTCCCTAACCCCTTTCCCCCCCGCCGCCCCCTCCCCTACCCCCCTCTTTCCCCCCTTTCCCCGCCCCTCCCCTACCCTTTCCCCCCCCCCTCCCCGCCCCCCCCTCCCCTACCCCCTTTCCCCCCCCTTCCCCCTTTCCCCCCCTTTCCCTTCCCCCCTCCTTTCCCCCCCCCCTCCCCCCTACCCTTTCCTTACCCCCTTCCCCTACCCCCTTTCCCCTTCCCCTACCCCCTTTCCCCCCTCCCCTTCCCTACCCCCGCCCCCTTCCCCCTACCCCCCTCTTTCCCCCCACCCCGCCCCTCCCCCTACCCCCTCTCGGCGCACTACCCACCAGCTGGCCGTCGGAGGCAGGGTGTTAATCAGGTGTTAACGGCTTGATCGCGACCTGCGGCGCCGTCAGGAGGGGGGGGGGGTGGGGGGGTTTGTCAGCACTCGCTCTCAGGCTCTCGTTGTCGCGTGATAATTTTTTTTTGGGGGGGGTTATAATTTTTTTTTTTTGGGGGGGGGATATTATATATATATATATAATATATATATATGTATATATATATATATATATATATATATATATATATATTTTTTTTTTTAGGGGGGGCTGGGATTTTTTTTCTGTGGGGGGAGGCTGGGAATTTAAGCTTATTTCTGGGGGGGGATTTTTGCTTTTTTTAAATCTCCATCTCCGTAAAATCATCGTGAAAAATCAGCAATGAAGGAAAGAAAGAGAAAGACAAAAAGAAGGAAAAGAGAAAAAGAGTGAGAGATAAAATAAAATAAAATAAGAGAAAGAGAGAGAGAAAAAATCTATGAAAGAGAATAATCGAAAGAAAGAGAGAAAAAAAGAAAAGAGAATAATCGAAAGAGAGAGAAGGAAAGATTCCAATTGCGAATTAACCACGAAGATCCTCCCCCCCTCCCCTTCCCCCCCTTTCGCCCAGGCTCCTTAATTACCATTTCGCCTTCTGTGTCAGCATCGTCAGCATCGTCAGCATCGTCAGCATCCGTCAGAGTCTGTGTCTCACCTTCTCCATCAAACGGCGGGGACCTGGCCTCCCCCTCCCCCTCTCCCTCTCCCGCTTTTCCTCTCCTTCCTTTCTCTTTCTCTCTCTCTCTCTTTTCTTTTCTCTTCTCTCTATTTCTTCTCTCTCTTCTCTTCTCTCTCTTCTCTGTTTTTTTCTCTCCTTCCTTCTTCTCTCTCTTCTCTTCTCTCTCCTCTTCTCTTCTCTTCTCTTCTCTTCTCTTCTCTCTTCTCTTCTCTCTTCTCTCTTCTCTTCTCTCTCTCTCTCTCTCTCTCCTCCCTTCTTCTATCTCTATTTCTTCCCTTCCATCCTCCTCCCTCCTACGTCTCTCTCTTTCCCTCCCTTTTCTATTTCCTTTCTCCCTCTCCATCTCTTCTCTCCTTCTTCCTCTCTCTCTCCCTCCTCCCTTCTCTTTCTCTTCTCTCCATCCTCCTCTCTCTATCTCTTCCTTCCCTTTTCCTTTCTCTCTCTCCACCCTTCTCTATCTCTTTCCTCCTTCCTCCTCTCCTCTTCCTCTCTCCACCCCTCCCCCTCCCATCTCTTCTGCACCCCCTTCCCTCCCCCTCTTCCCTCTCCTTCCCTCCCCTCTCCTTCCCTCCCCCCTCCTTCCCTCCCCCTCCCTCCTTCCCTCCCCTCTTCCCTCCTTCCCTCCCCTCTCCCCTCCCCCACCTTCCCTCCCTCTCTTCCCCTCCCCCCCTACTTCCCCTCTCTTTCCCTCCCCCTCCCTTCCCCTCCCCCTCCCCCTTCCCCTCCCCCCTCCGCCTTCCCCCCCCTTTCCTTCCCTCACCCTCTTCCCCTCCCCCCTCCCCCTTCCCTCCCCCTCCTTCCCTCCCCCTCTTCCCCTCCCCTCTCCTTCCCTCCCCTCTCCTTCCCTCCCCCACTCCTTCCCCCCCCCTCCTATCCTTCTATTGTTGTCATTAATCTCTTTGTCATTCTCATCCGCGAGTTGATAGGCCTACGTCATGAGTTGATAGGCCTACGTCATGAGTTGATAGGCCTACGTCATGAGTTGATGGGCCTACGTCATGAGTTGATAGGCCTACGTCATGAGTTGTAGGCCTACGATGTGTTGATAGGCCTACGTCATGATAGGCCTACGTCATGAGTTGATAGGCCTACGTCATGAGTTGATAGGCCTACGTCATGAGTTGATAGGCCTACGTCATGAGTTGATAGGCCTACGTCACCTACGTCATGAGTTGATAGGCCTACGTCATGAGTTGATAGGCCTACGTCATGACCTACGTCATGAGTTGAATAGGCCTACGTCATGAGTTGATAGGCCTACGTCATGAGTTGAATAGGCCTCAATGAGTTGATAGGCCTACGTCATGAGTTGATAGGCCTACGTCATGAGTTGATAGGCCTACGTCATGTGTTGATAGGCCTACGTCATGTGTTTAGGCCTACGTCATGGGTTGATAGGCCTACGTCATGAGTTGATAGGCCTACGTCATGAGGGCTCGGATTCTCGCTCCACTTCAGTCTTGAAATGGGATCGCGAGTGTTGTTTCCCCCGCACACGCTGCTCTCTCTCTCTTTCTCTTTCTCTTTCTCTTTCTGTATCTCTTTCTCTGTCTGTCTGTCTCTTTCTCTTTCTCTTTCTTTTTCTCTCTTTCTCTCTTTTCTCTGTCTGTCTCTCTCTCTTTCTCTCTTTCTCTTTCTCTTTCTCTTTCTTTTTTCTCTCTTTCTCTCTCTTTCTCTTACTCTTTCTCTTACTCTTTCTCTCTCTCTTACTCTTACTCTTACTCTTTCTCTTTCTCTGTCTGTCTGTCTGTCTTCTCTCTCTCTCTCTCTCTCTCTCTCCTCTCTCTCTCTCTCTCTCTCTCTCTCTTCTCTCTTCT